AACCTGTGTGAGTCCTGTATATCCTCATATAATTTTTAACTGATGGACCCAATTCCTCAGCCTTTTAAATGTAGAATAGGAAAGCAGTATGTACTGTACTGACAGATGAGTTTCTGTTACAAACATAAAATACAGCAATATGACCACGGTCTGTAGGAAGTGCCCTGTGTTCACTTGAACAAGTTTGACAGGGAAGCATTGAAAAAAGTACTATATGACAACCGAMAATAAATGAGAACTTTTTAAAATCTGTGCTGTATTTATTATGTCCATCAGTTGTTAGAAGACAGGCGAAACTAACCAGATATTTAGATCAGTAGACTGATCCTTTCTATAGATGAGTGTACAGTATGACAMGGAAAACTTAATTAGCCTTATTAGCTTAGCTTGTGTAACTGCACAGGTAATTAAGTAAGGGTGGCTACCTCTTTGAAAAGCCTCATCTGAACTATGTGGCTGTACACAAGAGTGGGAGGCACTTTTAATGTGCTTTGCAAGCAAATTAATAGGAGGAAGACAATGATTTCTGAAGAAGTAATATATTGGATGCAAATTGGTGCAAGTGGGACTTCTATGTAACTATTATGTCCAAATTGGCTAAACAGTTTTTGGATGAACTGAAGAGAGTGTTCCAGTTCAAGTTATATGACTGGAATACCAGGAATGAATTAATATAGAGGTGAATGAGGGAATAAAAAAAAATAGTGGAGACTAAATACAATCTTTTCCTTATTTGCATTTTGTGGCTCAATACATAGATGAAACTCTGTAAAATATTTTAATATATTTTCCAATTGACTTTGCACTGTACGTATCACCATCTGAAAAAAAAGTATTTTCCATCTTGCTGTGCTTCTTGCTTGCTATGTTTTCTTCCATCTGACAGCTTTTGTAGGTGACCTATTTTATGAATGGAGCTACTCTTGCCTTTGAAGTTGTAATTAGTCTTGGAAGAACTACCTGGGAAGCATGCTTTTATTGGATCTGGAATCAGGGTGGGGCTTCCCACCTCTGTACATGTGCATAAATCACAAATAGTGTCTTCTATTTCAGGAATTCAAGTTTTACATGATAATTACTTTTTTTCTTGAGAGATGAGGGTCTTGAACACACTTCATTGTTTATGGAACTGAACATTTCAACAACAGCACTAAGTATGATTTACTTAGAACACATTGCCCATATAATTCTACTATCTGTAAATAGTAACTGTGAAATAAACCAGCATTTGGAAGAATTTGATGAAATTTAGACAACAGTTAAAATCGTTTTGCAATAGTGATAGGAGCAAGTTGTAGAGATTTTGTACAAAGCAGGTCTTACCTCATTGAATTTACCTCCCTTATCTCACAGATCTTTAAAAAAATGTTCCTAATCTTTTCTGCATTGTTATTGCTATCGTAGAATCACAGGTTTTATGTGTGTTTAACCATGTAGAAGGGGCACTTGGTAATAAATGACTAGTCAAAACTGTGACCTCTTTGTTTTGGCTTCAATAGCTGGAGAACAAAATCTCCATAACACATTAGTGTTAGGTCCACAAGAAAAGAAATGAAACAAATTCAAGAATCCTCCGTGACTTTTAGTCTGTTTGCTAAATATGGACATAGAGCCTCAAGATCTTCTAGTTCACCAATCCTCTGCAGTCCTAAGGGTCAGTTGCCCTGTGTATTCCCTGGAAGTTTCTATGAGTGCATCCCCAAAATCTGGGCAGAAAGAACGGTTTGGCTTTATGGATGAGGTAGAGATGGAAGTTGCTATGGTAAGTTTGTRAGAAGTTGTTGGAGCCTGACGATCTTCTCTGGATAACATCCAACCCTGGGATGCAAATTTTCCTGGCTGCAGTTTACAGCATCGAGTCTAAAATTATGGCAGATACGTAGTGCTTTAAGCTACTTCCTACTCAAATGTCTGAATCCTGGACTTCTGGACCACATCTAAAATTATACCACTGCTTACTGAAGATTATCATCCATTCTCTGTTAAAAGAGTGTTCATTAAAACTACATGTGTTATCATCAATCACTTAGACTTGTGAATCTTCTACATCTGTGCACTATTTACATTTTGCATTGCAAATATATTGAGGAAAAATGATGTGAAGGGATTTGTTCAGCAAAATATCTCATGTGAACAGCACAGATTACACAGAGGACAGTTAGGTGGAGTCAGATCCAGAAAGGAATGCTGCTATCTTGCATGCAATTACCATATCCACATTGTCACCTCTTTTTGTGGCTCTACTTTTAAAGCAAGGGACTGACGATTGCCAGTTATCTCTGTATTGTTTAAGTGCTAATTTAAGTTTCCTTGAACAAACAAATCATGGTGGAGAGGGGTCATTCATAAAGAAATAAAGTTATAAACCCTGGAATTCAGTCATTTAGATCAGGAGCACTATAAAACATGGACTGAATAGCAAAGCTGGGCCCAGACCCAATGCAAGTTTCCAAAGAAGAATAAATCTATTCAGATAAACAGCTTCGATCAATTTCTGAAACTCAAATATGTTGCAATCATTATGGGGCCAATTTTTATGTGGATTTGAATCCATTAAATTCCTTGGCTTTATTCCTTTTTTCCACTTCTAGTGATACACATTATATTATTAGTGTCTCTTATTGGAAAAATGCTCATTTCTCTCTGCCTCCTTCTATTTTATATATACACAAATACTGTATGATATCCAGGAGACATCTTCTTTTCTGTGTCTGACAGAAATCCTTAATGCATCACAGTGTGTCTGGGTTCACCTGTTTATTCAAGCAGAGCACCAGTGTCACTTGGCTGGTTTATGCTGGTTTWTGTATCCCGCCCAGCAGCTGATTTCTGCCCTCTCAACATTCATACACTGCCTAGAAGGATGAGAGGCAGCTCTTCTCATGTCCCTCGTTTATTTCTCCTTCCATCAGGGAGCAGTAAGAACACACCTGTGTGCGTRATCAATCGGCCTCACAGGGGGTGAGGAGTTTTATCTTCATGGCATGTGCTGTTTCAAGCAGCCCTGGGAGCTGGGACACCGGGRCTGCTCCTAACTCTGGTCCGTTGGGTGTGACCACAAGGTAAGCATGCTGGACTGATCTGCAGATAATTATTTTTAACTGCAGCAAGTAGCAAAACTGTCAAAGTTTCAAAGGATTTAGCAATGTTTCTGAAGGAAACATTTAAAGGGCCTTGTTAAATCAAACATTCCCATCTAGCTCTAGAGGCATTCCTGTCCCAGGTCTGCAGTGTTTGGTTACACTTCTATTGTTTGATGTAGAGCCTTAGATCTTCAATTAATATGCAATTCAATGTTCACTGAGACAATGGCAGGATCTACTCAGCATTCTGGCACCCTCTGAAACAGATAAACTCTAACCTTTGCCAAATACAAAGGATGATAAAAGCAGAAGTCACTTTTTTCAGCTGAATTAAAATATACTGCCAATGTCTTTGTAGTCTTCATCTTTTTTCCTGCTTTATTGTAGTAACCTTCAGCTGGCATTGCATGGCACCTATAAAATACATACTGCAGAATTAAAATTAAATACAGTTGCAGCAGCAAGCGGGAAACCAGAGACATTGAGTCTGCTCTTAAACACTTTTCATGTATTAGATTCAAAGTGTAACTTATGTTGGTAGATCACTCTAGGTTGTCCCTGGAAACAGGTAAGGAGTCCAATGCCATAGCAATTTACCTTCAAATACCATTGAATTCAGTGGGGCAGGATTTCACTGAGGCTGTTAAATGGGAGTAGGTTGAGACAGCATCACAGATCTTTTCATGTGCCTATCTTAGGGCTGAGATGTTGAAAAAGTCAAGTACAAAAACGATATGAAATGCTGTTTT